CTTTGAGCTACTGGAAAGTCATTCAGTTGTTGTGACAGTGATTCCAGAGCATCATAATGCGATATAGTAATCTACAAGTTAAAGGTATGCCAATAATGAAGACAGTGTTTGCTTGCAACACATATTAAACCACCTTTGACATTATTTCTCTAAATTGCTTACTAGCACTGCAGTTAATTTGACCCCAACTTCCATTATGATCACAATACCTTGTAGCTAAAGAGAAAATAATTAGTTAGTTTATCATAAACACTAACCATTAAATGTTCCCTTATGACAAGTACCATTTGCCCTAACTCCAGGTTCAGTGGCTTCCCACTGATCAATTTTTGAACAATATATGTACACAGGAGAAGAGGGAGAGGGATAAGTAAGAGAGGAAACTGTTGGCAAAAATGAAGTTGTAGACATTGATAATACACTAAACATGGGGGCTTGAGTTGCAGATCTAGATTTAGAGGATGATTTTGAAGTACGCATTGGTATTGTAGGTATAGCAGCAGGCATTGACACTGTGCTTATTGAAGATTCAGGTAACGATACTGTATGCATTGACACTGTGCTTATTGAAGATTCAGGGGTAATGATACTGTATGCATTGACACTGTACTAATTGAAGATTCAGGTAATGATACTGTATGCATTGACACTGTACTAATTGAAGATTCAGGTAATGATACTGTATGCATTGACACTGTGCTTATTGAAGATTCAGGTAACGATACTGTATGCATTGACTCTGCACTAATTGAAGATTCAGGTAATGATACTGTATGCATTGACACTGTACTAATTGAAGATGATGCTGCGTACATTGACACTGAAGATTCAGGTAATGATACTGAAGTATTAGGTAGAGATGCATATAGATCTACATTGATAGTAGAGGAATATTCAGTCAAAGATGGTGATATTGAAGTAGCAATCATGCATGTAGGTAGACCTGTATTTACACTGACACTTCTACAACCTTTATTTCCAGTGCCACTATGATCTACTGGATATGATGCTAATTTATTGCCATTCTTTTGAAACTTAACTGAAGTACTTGACGATTGCCATGACATTTTATTGCAAATTATTAATGTTTCCTCTTCTGTATCTGACCTGACAGTCCCATTGATTATTGTCACAGGACAGCATGCACTAGTATCAGTCCAGGTAAACCGTAGGTTTTGATTTTTATCTTTTATGACAAAATCAACAGACTGCTGCTTACTTGCAGCTGAAACTGTAAAATTTAATAGACTCCATATACTAGCTGGTTACATTTTATACACTTACTATTGTAGGAGACTAGGGCTGGCTCTGGTTGTGTATTGTGACTTGAACTTATATTTAACGTCACTATACCTTCAGGATGCGCACAGTTCCCAGTAACATTCATTACAGTCACATTGAAATTAAATTTGAGAACAATATTTTCAAAATAGTCAGATCTAGATCTACTCCTGCT